GTAGAAACAAGGGGAAAAGGGTAATAAAATAGAAAATACAAATAAGACTAATTATATCAGTAATCACACTCAGTGTAACCAGATTAAACTTACTTATTAAAGTTAGTTTATCAGAATAGGTTTAAAAAAAATAAAACTATGTGTTCCATATAAGAGGGATATTTAACATAAAGTTATAAATAAAACTGACAGTGAAAAGATAGAAAAGGATATATCAGGAAAATATTAACTAAATAAAGCTGATCCAACCATATTACCAACAAATAAAATATAAATTAAGATAGAAGTTTAAAGAGGGACACTATATAAAAGCAACAGTTACCAAGAACATACACAAATCTAGAACTTGGATACAGATTAACATGGCAGATTCAAAACATCAGAAAATATTTTAGAAAATATTGAGGCTATTGAGAATATTCTATTCTATTACAATAGAAACTGGGAGAACACAAAAAGTTAAGATAGAAGTGGTTTGAATAGCATCATTAATTAAGTTGAATTAATTTCACAGATATAGAAGCCTGTCTTCCAGAAATAGGAATATATCTTTTAAAAAGTTTTGTATGGAAAATTTAAAAACTGGCTACATTACTTACTGGTTGCCAAACAAGTTGCAACAAGTATCAAAGAATCAGTAACAAAGGCATCAAGTGGTAATTCAGTGGAGCAAGGAATAGTCTTTTCGACAAATAGAGCTAGAATAATGGGGCTTCCTGGGTGGCTCATAGGTAAAGAATCTGTCTGCAATGCAGGAGACCCAGGTTTGATCCTTGGGTTGGGAAGATCCCCTGGAGGATGAAATGACTACTCACTCCAGTATTCTTGCCTGGAGAATCCCCTGGACAGAGGAGCCTGGAGGGCTACAGTCCATGAGGTCCCAAGAGTTGGACATGACTTAGCAACTAAACCACCACCACCATCTCGTCAATATGGAGAGGGAAAGAGCCTTAACCTCTTTACTGCACCATACATAAAAATGAACTTGAGTTATAGATCTAAATTAAAATTTAACAATAAAATTTCCAGAAGAAAACAAATGATCTTCAACCTGGGATTAAAGATTCTTAGAACACAGAACCATAAAAGGAGTGATAAATTAGACTACATCAAAACTAATATTTTTGTTCAAAATCCAAATTTATGAAAATATCCACCTTTTCCTCAAATGCCACAAAGAAAATGACAATATATTTCCCCAAAGAAGCAAGAGTACAGATTAGACTCTCTGAACACAAGCAATAAAAGATTTGAAAGTTAAAATTTTTGTCTACTAACTAAATTCTTTCATAAATAAAGTAAAAATAAATAGGAATACTAGAAAATGCAATAGTAGTACACTTGAGAGTCTATGGACTCTAGCCAAAGATATACTCAGTGAACACTTCATAACAAACAAAAACTGAAATTACTGACTTCTTCAATTTAAAGTGACTTGAAATAAATTTTAGAATTTAGAATAAGGCAATAAATTAATCCAAAAAATCAAAAGGAGGGGATAAAGACAAAAGTAGAACTAATTACTAATGCATATATATGGAATTTAGAAAGATGGTAACAATAACCCTATATGCAAAGCAGAAAAAGAGACACAGTTGTATAGAACAGACTTTTGGACTCTATGGGAGAAGGCGAGGGTGGGATGATCTGAGAGAACAGCATCGAAACATGTATATTATCAAGTGTGAAACAGATTGCCAGTCCAGGCTGGATGCATGAGACAAGTGCTCAGGGCTGGTGCACTGGGAAGACCCAGAGGGATGGGACGGGGAGGGAGGTGGGAGTGGGGATCGGGATGGGGAACACATGTAAATCCATGGCTCATTCATGTCATGTATGGCAAAAACCACTACAATATTGTAAAGTAATTAGCCTCCAACTAATAAAAATAAATGAAAAAAAAAAAGAAAATGAAGAGAAGAGCCACAGTTTAGAAGAAAATATTCTCAAAATCTGACAGAGGACTTGGACAAGAACATGTAAAGAATTCCCACAATGCAGTAATTTTTAAGAAGTCAATCCAACTAAAAAGGAGCCAAAGACTTAACTAAAATAAACATTCATAGAAGATTTTTCAAATGGCCAAGCAGCAAATTAAAAATTGGCCCATTATTAGTCATGGAGAAATGCAAATTAAGTTACCATAAGTCAGTACTACTCACCTAGTAGATGAGCTAAAATTAGAAGACTGAAACATATATTACCAAGGATTTGGAATAATCATAACTCACATTGCTTATAGAAGTGTAAAATGGTACAGCTTTAAGAAAAGATCTGGATGTATCTTATAAAACTAAACACAGGTCTGGATATAGCTTATAAAACTAAATACACTTGTTTTGAATTTTCAAGAGGACATTAGGCTAATAAAGTAAAAGGCATTCGGATTGGGAAGAAAGTAGTAATGACATGATTTTGTATATAGAAAATCTTAAAAAATTTACAAAAATGTAGAAGCTAATAAGTTCAGCAAGATTGCAAGGTACAAGATCAATATGCAAAAATAAACCTTGTTTCTATACATTAGTAATGAACAACCCAAAATAAAAGTAAGGGAACAATTCCATTTGCCATAGTACCAAATAAATAAAATATTTCAGGAATAAATTTAACAAAAATAGGAAACACATTCACTAAAAACTGTAAGACAGTGATAAAAAAATTAAAAGAAAATCTAAATAAACAGAAAAACATATTAATGGATTAGAAGATGAAATGGTTAATATAGTAATAGTCCAAAAACTGATCTACAGATTTAATGCAATCACTATCAAAATCCCAGCTGGTCCTCCCCTCCCCAAATTAACAAGTTGGTCTTGAAAATGGTATGAAGATGCAAGGGACTCAGCAAAAATAACCTTAAAAAATAAGAAAGGGGATTCACAGTTCAAAGCTACAGAAATCAAGGCAGTGTGATACTGGCATAGTACAGACATATATCAATGAAACAGACTTGAGAATCCAGAAATGAACCCTCACAATTAAAGCCATATGATTTTAGAGAAAGGTACCAAAACAACTTCATGGCGGAAGGAATATTCTTTTCAACAAATGCTGCTGCACAACCAGACATCCATATGCAAAAGAATGAAGCCCTACCTCACACCATATACAAAATTTAAATCAAAATAGATCATAGAACTAACTATAAGAGGTAAAACTATAAAACTCCTAGAAGAAAAAAAAGGAAGAAAAAAAGGAGTAAATCTTTGTTACCTTAGATTAGGCAATAGATTCTTAGGTATCACACTAAATGATGAAGAAAAATTTAAAAATGATGACTACTGCATGACACTTTTCAAATAAAATTTAATGTATTCAAAATAAAGTGTTAATGGATACATAGACATGCAGAATACACAAATACCTATCATAATCAATCTCCAAATAGTGGTTACTTTTATGGAAGAGAGAGGAGGGAAAAGGGAAAAAATAGAGTTTATAAAGTATCTGTAAGTTCTTGTTTCTAAAATAAGCTCAAACAAATAGGACATCCTTGATAAAATAAATTTATCATACTTGTTAAAATTTGCATATTTGATAAAAGTGGTTATGGGGATAAACATATACTTTTATGAATATTTGAAACACTTTACATTTTAACAAATGTAACAAAAACAACAGTATTTTATAAGAATGAGATGTCCTTATCATGAGCATTCATTGCCAGTACAGCACAGGGTGAAAAATGAAGGTAAATTAAACTAAGTGATCTGAAACCACACAAATCCAAGAAAGCGTCTGGATATTACTTTGTGAATAAATACTGATATCAGAACCTTTGTCACTGCCTTTATTCAAAATGGACTACAAAGTCCCATGCCCCTAGGATGAATACTGGAATTTTCCACTTGTTTGTATTCTATATAAATAGTTGGGGCTTATGTTTATTTTAATAAATTCTCACTCCCTCTCTCTCTGCTCCTAAATTTGTTTCATCCAATTTTCCCAAGCTTAAATCTCTTGTTTCACTCCCCCTGCCCCAGATTTGCATTTCCTTTTCCAAGCAACACTAAATTATTTTCTTTTCCAATCACTCATAAATCAAACAGCACATTTCTCTGGTTGGTTTTTCACTTTCATCTACATGGTAATTGGTTTGTTTACATGTTTTCTGCATCTTTACTTGTCCGAAGTGCAGAGCAAGCTTCCAGATGCTAACAAGCGACAGTTTCACAAGGAGAAAGGCGGCCCCACGCAGGCCTTCCCGGGAAGATGCAGACGCAGGTGAGGACTTCACACACACCTCTCATACCTGCCTCCCCTCAGGGCGCACGTGCGGCTGGGGGGGCTGCGGGGGGTCAGAGGTGCAGTCACAGTTAGAGGGGAGCTAGTGTGCAGCTGCTGGCCCTTCTCTCCCTGCAGATGTTAGCCCTGGTGTCCAATAGCCCAAAAGGCTGCCTGGCCCAAGCCACACAGGACAACAGTTAGCATCCCTGAGCACCTTCCGCCGCCAGGCAGTGTCCCAAGCACTTGAAGTTTAGTTCACTGAACTTAGGAAACTCATAATTTCCTAAGAGGGAGGCATCACCATCTCCACTTTACAGACTTCTTTACTGGGCAGAGAAGTGAAGCAATACATCCAAGGTCACACAGCTGGAAAGGGCAGAACCAGGGTTCCCATCCAGCTGCAGCTCATGGCAAAGCCTGCCCTTGACCGCTCATGGCTTCTTCTCTTTCCACTGCGGGAGCGGCATGTAGAACAGACACGTTTTTTTGGTGAAGCATTGTTTTTCCCTACAACCCACCATGCAATCAACCTACCTATTACATTATACTCCAAATGGGGCAGTGTTTTCTTCAAGAAAACAATCTCAAGTATGACATTAATAAAAACAAGCATTTGCACACAGACACACAGACACACACCATGTATGGATGTCTGGGTGTGCATCTCAGAGCAAGGGTGGCATCTGCTGTAGCTGAGGCGTGCTCCTGAGATGGGGCTCCTATAACTACTTGCTCTGTGAACCGAGACCCTAAGAGGAACAGAGGTGTACCTGGATAGGATCCTGTGTCAATCTCATGGGCCCGATGCGTACCTCCGCAGAAGAAACCTGCTAAAAAAAAAAAAAAGAAAGCACGTGAGATGTGTCAAGTCACAAGCTACAGGAACTGACACATTCTTCCTGACACTGGAAATTATATCATGCTACTTTGCTGCTAAATAAAAGGATCCAATCTAATGACATGGAGACAGTTGATAAAGCATCCTGTACAATACAGTTCTGATTTTGCAAAAGTACACATACATTTATATGCCTTGAAATGTCTGGGAGGATATATCCCCAAATGCTAAGTGGTGAGATTTCAGGTTATTTTTCTTTAAAGTGTATGGTTTTTTATAATAAGCACTTATTATTCTTTACTCTCTCTCTATGGGAGGAAAAACTCTGATTATTTACTGAGCACCTACTATGCTGCACATGATGCCAGGTTGTTACTCCTCTGAAATTTCTAAAGAATAAAAACTTCTCTCATACGTGGAAGCTAAAGCATTTCAATGTTTTTAACAGCTGTTCCCATATTTAGATCTTATTTTTTATCTTCATGTTTTAAAATAAGGAATAAACAGCTCACTCTTATCTATGTTGATCATGACTAAATTATTCATTTCAGTTGCACTTCCTCAAATAAACTGAATAACCCCACACCATGACCACAAGAAGCTGAACTCTGCCCCACGACTCCAGGAACGAGCTTCGGTGTTCACTGGCCCACACCAGCTAACTGCCTTTGGCTGCAAGCAGAGAGCAGATACGTATCTTCATTTTAAATTGCTGGATTGAAGGTTCTGCCTCACTGCCATGGATCCAGAGTTGTTTTTCTCTAAGAAGCTGCAGTCACTCTGCCTCTGCTTAGCAGCTTATCCTGCAATCAACACACTAGGTTGGCCCCCGTGAGTTGGATGGGACACTTTCAGAGTTCACAGGACCAGAGACACCACAGGGACCCAAGGGTCAGAGGAGGCTTTTTTATCAGGTAAACGATAAAGGCAGAACTTTCTTTAAATTAGACTCTGAAGACTAAATATTTCCCTTTCTCGCCCTTTAACTTTCGATGGGCATGGTGTGAATCTTCTCCAACAACTGACCATGAACTGCTAACATTCTGCAGTCCATGGGGTCGCAAAGAGTCGGACATGATTGAGTGACTGAACTGAACTGAAGCAAAGCTACATCCTGCAAGGTATCTACACTGATACCCATGCCCAGCATACGTGTGCAGACCCAGAATTCCGCTGGAAGAGGAGCGTCACCAGGCTTCCTGCATCACTGGGACTCTGGCCCCTCATGCAGCTTCACCCTGAGCAGTTTTGCTTTTTTTTTTTTTGGTCTGAAACAGACACGACTCTTCAAATATAGTGCAACTGCCAGAATCCTACTAAAAGTTAATGATTAAGAAGTGAAACCAACTTGGTACAGAGAGATAGATCTGATTGATAACCTGAGCTATCTCTGCACTCTCTGTGATGTCAGCTGGGTAGACTGCTTCTACCCAGGAGCCCCCATCCCTACCCGCCCGCCCCCCACCAACAAGGCCTCCTGTGGTTGCTCCAGCAAAACTGGCCCTGAAGAGGGACGCCCAGGGACGGAAGATAGATAAAATGATAAATCAACAAGAGTTTAAAAGGAATAAAGTAAAAAGTGACTCACAATGGAAGGCTAAGGGATTGAGGGAAGCGCAGAGACTGCCCCCTAAACGGACACACACCTACATACTTTGAAGGAACCAAGATGTGCATGAGGTCATTAAATGGGCCATCTTCAACTCTGCCAAGAAAGTACGTAATGACTGTGGGAGCCCCGTGGCCCCCAGCCCCGAGCCGAGCCCTTTCACGTGGGTGACCTTGGCAGGGGGCAGGCCGCGGCCACTGAGCGACGGCTCGGAGATTCAGGAGCAACCCTCAACCTAGAAGATCTTTCTCCTGCTGTCTATAGGAAAGGCCCTCCAGCTTTCTCCGGAGCCACAGAGTTCCCTGCCTGCATCCAGCATGGTAACTTCCACTTGACCCAGGTTGGCCGGAGGCTGGCACCTGAGGCCGAGCCTGGCAGAGGCCTGGCAGCATTGCGGAGCCCCCTCCAAGGCCTCTCTCTCCCATCTCCACCCGGCCCCACATCCTTGCGCCCTCCCTGGGAACACAGGCCGCCCTCGCCACCAGCCCAGGGGCCTCCGCTTCTCAGCTCCTCTGGATCTAACCCACACTTCCGTCTTGCCTCTCGGCTTGCCTTCTTGGTCTGTGCTCACAGTCGTCAGACCCTGGCTGCTACACCCAAGAGAGGCAGCTATCCCCACCAAAGCAGACCCTCTCCTCCCGGGCTCTGAGCGCTGGCCCGAGGCCTGAGCAGCAGCGGGTCTGGGCAGAGGCAGTGGCAGTCTGCAGAGCTCTCCTTTGGCCCTGGGAGTCTTACTGCCTGCATCTCACCCATTGCCAAGAGAACAGATTATGAACAGAAACAGGAGAGCATTTACTGACGTCTGTGTAGCTGAGCCAAGATTCTCTACTTTGGAGATAGAACTGTGAGCGACTGCAGATACACAGATCCTCAATTAGCGTATTAGCTCTGATTCCAGGAAGTCACCACGTTTGCCAAGGACACAGAAGCAAGAAGGAGGTGGGCTCATGGGTATTACAATTCCAGCTCTGGAGAGGAGAGGAGGAGGAGGGGAGAGACACACTTCCTAGCCACCTCGACCACAAGCTCTCCCCTCAGCCTCAAGAGGAAGCACTGCTGGCCAACAGGTCCTCCTAACGGTCCAGTATTAACACTGTGTCACATACTCGTGTGCACACATGTGCGTGCACAGTCACCTACACACGGAGCAGGGTCACCAGTTCACACTCAGATGAGTTGGCTCTTCAGGAAAAAAGAAAAGTCCTATTTTGTAGCATTTGCTGATTCCATGGTGTAAATACTTTCACCTTGGCTGAAATCAAGCCAGTAACCTAGGTCCCTGAACATGCAACTGGGAGTATGCCTTTTCATTCCGAGAGGGTCTATGAGAGGGATACTCTTTCAGAACTGGCTGACGTGCATATTTCTATCATTGGCTTTGGCTGGAAAGTTCAGTGAGATACAGAATTCTGGTGGGTAGACATTTTGCCTAAGGCTTTGAGGTTGAGAGAAACGAGATCATCTTTCTGACTTTGCAGGTGGGGAGACCAAAGACACTGATGCTGGGAAAGACTGAGGGCAGGAGAGGGGAATGACAGAGGATGAGATGGTTGGATGGTACCACTGACTTGATGGAGATGAGTTTGAGCAAGTTCCAGGAGTTGGTGATGGACAGGGAGGCCTGGCGTGCCGGAGTCCATGGGGTCGCAGATAGTAAGACACGACTGAGTGACTGAACGACAACAAAGATCGAAGAAGGCTTCATGGAAACAAGTCGGTCATGGATGGGAAGAAGGAGAGACCAGGGTTGAGAGAGGAAATTCCAGACACAGGGAACAACGAAAAGCAAAGGCACAGAAGCAAGAATGCAAAGATGCTTGTGGGGGTCTAGAGAAACTGGATTACAGAGCATGAAAGGGAAGACTATGTTGGGGTCAGCTGCTTAAAAGGATTTTGGAAAGCAATTCCCTTTTGATTCTGTAGGCACCAACCATGAGGCAGGTTTTTCAGTGGAGAATTACCAGGATCAGATTTATGAATTGGGAGGAGAAAAGAAAAGTTTGGTTTTCCCACTTTCTGGATAGTCAAGAACAGAGATTTAGCAAACACAAAACAAAGACACTGCTATGAGTAGGAATTACAGCAGTGAAAACAAGTGGGGAAAATACACCACAATGATTAAGAAAAAAAAGTTACCCCAGTCCCCACATGGCTTGGATTCATTTCAAAGGAGAGGGAACTCCCAAGAAGAAAACCAGCTGGTGCAGGGCAAACAGACGAGAGACTGAATGTGGGAAGAAATCAAGGCGGTTCACGCGCCTGGTCCCGTCACCGTAGCACGTTCTCTGCCGCGGGCAGCCACAGGTCTTGGTAGCTTCAGGAACTGTGTTAAAGAACTTGGATTCTGGTTTTAGAGCTCTTCTCCAAGAAGGAGGAGAGAGTTCAGGCCAAGTGGTTGACCTGGAAAGGCCTTCTTCCCACATCTGCTCAGCTGATGCCTGCTCAGGGGCCGCTCACGTGCCCCCCACTCCCCGGAGGCCATGGAGGCCCAGCTGCACCCCCACAGGACTCAACACCGTCCGCTCAGCTCCTCCCATGCTTCAGGGCACTAACCTTACTGCCCGTTTAAATATCTTTCTGCTGGGAAAGGTTGTGAGTGTCTTGAGGGACACAGACATTGTTTTTTTCCCACAGTTTCGTCCCCAGCGTCTAGAAAGTGCTCAGTCAAGGCTGGCGCTCAATAAATAAGTGGAACTGAACTAAACTGCCTAAGATCACATAGATTTGAAATAACAGAGTCAGGACTGAGACTTCATTTTTCCTGACTCCCAGTGTGCTGCTCTTTGATCGTGCTCCAAATTGTAAAGCCTCAGTTCTGACTGCACTCCCCGTATTTCTCTGATGGGTTTCTGGACTCTGTTCCAGTTCTGCAGATGGATCCAGCACCTGGTGATTCCCTGCTCATACCCTAGGAGTCTGTGCTGCTGCTAACAGGGCTGCCACCAGGATGAAGAAGCAAAAGCGGAGTGTTGCGTGTCCGTCTGGGGCAGGTATGGACCTTCCCATAGCGTGTGTCTTCTAAAACAAGCTCAGAGCCTGAATCCTCCCCACTTCAACAACTCCCTGGGGATCCCATCCTCCCCGCCACCTGCAGGACTGAGTGTTCATGCACAGGTGTATACACACACACAGCTCAGGGCCAAACCAAATTCATTTCACAAAAAGGGGACTTCATCATAAAGATCATTTTTATTTTTCAATGCCCTTAACCAATTCTGCCTGCTGCCCTAATTGGCTCTAATTTTAAAATAGTATTTACATATCTAAAGGGGTCCCCTTTATTTATTTTTGGGGCTCCAAAATCACTGCAGATGGTGACTGCAGCCATAAAATTCAAAGACACTTACTCCTTGGAAGAAAAGTTATGACCAACCTAGACAGCA